ATTCTATTCTATTCCACCCCACCTCTATTCTATTCTATTCTATTCTATTCTATTCTATTCTATTCTATTCTATTCCACTCCATATTTTCTATTCTATTCCACTCCACCTCTATTCTATTCTATTCTATTCTATTCTATTCTATTCCACTCCACCTCTATTCTATTCCATATTTTCTATTCTATTCTATTCCATTCCACCTCTATTCTATTCTATATTTTCTATTCTATTCTATTCTATTCTATTCTATCCCACCTCTATTCTATTCCATTCCATTCCATTCCACCCCACCTCTATTCTATTCTAATTTGTTAAACCTACATGCACAATATATACTGAAGGAGGCTTGGTTGGAAGAAGACAAAGGTGGTTTTAAAACCAGAGGAAGAAGTATGAATAACCTATACTTGCTGATGATGCTACATTGATAGCTAATAATGGAAATGCTCAATTAAGGCTGAAGTCCCCATTCAGAAAAACCTGCCATCTGTTCAGGCAGCCGACGACAGCAGCTCTGCCTGGTTCACGCAACATCTTAAAAGATATGGGACCAACTGCATTTGGCTTAGCTTAGGTTCAGTCTTGGATGTACAGTATAATACCTCGGTGCTCATCATTAATTCATTCCAGGAGGCACCATAAGTACCAAAAAACGACGAGTACCCCAAATTTTCCCATATGGAATAATGTAGTCAGTAAATAAGGTAGCCAACAGCAGCAAATTCAAGTCTGTGCATCAAATACTCCCCCCCCCCCCAAAACCAACAATGTTGATAAATAAGGCGAATAAATCACAGTAGGCTATGCTTGTATATCTGAAGTCAAAATCAAGGCAACAGCACAATTGTTTGATACAATATCTAAGTCTAGAGCGGATTAAACTACTTGCTTCCAAGGAAGTTACCTGTCCTTTACTATTCCAGGAGTCACTGCTCTGTATTGGTTTTCTCCCAAGTCAAGTCCCTTGCTGTCCTTCAGGTCAACCATTTAGGTAGAAACCCACACATTACATTCTTCTAAGATAAGAGTATTTACTCTCAAAGGAACTGAGAGAAATTGGTTGTCTTGCCAACTCTGATGGGACTCCAATCCTCTACAACCCCCAGCCAACATGGACAATAGTCAAATACAATGGAAGCTGAAATACAAAGGATCGTGTATGATCCCTTTATCCCTACTTTAAATGCTGTAAGTTTCACCATCCATTTTCTAGGATTATACATCTAGAGATCTTATGACTCTAAACCAAGGGTCTTCAAACTTGACAGCTTTAAGACTTGTGGACTTCAACTCCCAGAATCCCCCCTCCAGTCATGTTAGCTCAGGAATTCTGGGAGTTGAAGTCCACAAGTCTTAAACTTGCCAAGTTTGAAGACCCTTGCTCTAAACCTCCAGTCAGCAGTATTACATCCTTGGAAATAAGTTGGAAATTCATTAGAATTGTCATCATATGTTACATGTAAGCTTTCTTAGAATCTCTGACTGGCCAATCCAGAAAAGCAGAAGGTAGTGCACCAGGATCTTGGCCTCCTCCAGCATCTGTTCTGGTCAGCTTAACACTAACAGCTTTAGCAGCACTAGGTGAACTGCATTCCATAGTTGATGTTCCTCTGATGTCCCAGTGTAGCCTCATTCCAAAATACAGTAAGAATGTCACAGTGACCTGTCTTTTATCACTTGGCAAATCCAGACTGTTCAGTTTGAAAGCAGGCAGTCCTTGCCACTTGCCCAGTTATTTTAGGGTATTAGCAATCTCCTCAATTTTTAATAAACTGGGGAGAAACCTAGTTTAGATGTTTGGCAAGCTAGAGAATTTGAACCCCCTGTCCTTCATCTTTCGTTTTCCTTTCCTTAAAGATTCCCTGCATTCTGGAACACCCTCGCCATCCCATAAAACCATTTTAAGAAGCACCACCAACATCTGCTAGAGCAGAGGTCTCCAAACTTGCCAACTTTAAGACTTGTGGACTTCAACTCCTAGAATTTTGGGAGTTGAAATCCACAAGTCTTAAAGTTGGCAAATTTGAGGACCGCTGTGCTAGAGAAAAACATCATCCCTAGGTGTGACTTTCAACTCATGCATAATCCAAAAAGGCAAAAGGATTTGGAGGATGGAAGGAGAGAGAAGCTCAGTTAGAAATATCAATGGGTCCACAGGTAAAGTTTGGATCCATTTCTTCATATGTTCTCCTCCAAGCTCTGGTGGATGGCAATGTGGGCTTAATATTCTTCTTCTCCTTTGTATTTAGAAATAAACCTCCTGCTCTGGTCTTTCCATTATATATACCAGGGGTCTTCAAACTTGACAGCTTTAGGACTTGTGGACTTCAACTCCCAGAATTCCTAAGCTAACATGACTGCAGGAGGAATTCTGGGAGTTGAAGTCCACAAGTCTTAATTTGAAGACCCTTGAGATAGATAGATAGATAGATAGATAGATAGATAGATAGATAGATAGATAGATAGATAGATAGATAGATAGAT